AGGACTATGCAGAGATTGATTGTTTCGGATAAATATTTGTGCATATTAATCACCTAATTTGCATAATTAGTTAATTTTCAGCTTTTCCACGGGTATCTCAAGTACTAATCGCATTTCAATGAAACTTGGTACATAGATCCTTTAGGACTATGCAGAGACCTGATTAGTTTCAGGGTAAATAATTGTGCATATTAATTACCTAATTTGCATAATTAATTTTCAGCTTTTCTACTGATATCTAAAGTACTAATCATCACATTTCAATGAATCTAGAATTATGCAGAGACCCAATTAGTTTTTGGTAAATATTTGTGCATATTAATCACCTAATTTGCATAATTAACCAATTTCCAACTTTCACACTGATATCTCAGGTACTAATCATCACATATCAATGAATGTTTATACATGGATGCTGTAGGACAATAGACAGACCTGGATAATTGTGGGTTAAAATATGTACATATTAATTACCCAATTTGCATAATTAACCAATTTTAAGCTTTCACACTGATATCTAAAGTACCGGTACTAATTTCCATTTTAATGAAACTTAGTACAAAGATGCTCTACGACAATGTACAAACCTAATTAGTTTGGGGTAAAACTCTGTTCATATTATTTCCCTAATTAGCATAATAATTCATAATTTTTTGGTTCTAATCACATTTCAATTAAACTTGGTACATAGTTTTTGTTACATTGCCCAGACCTCATTAGTTTTACAATCAAATCTGTTCATGTTAATTTTCTGATTTGCATAATTAGTTTTCAGCTAAGTAATTTCAAATTATATTTAATGTGTCTCCAATACTCTCAGCACATGGGAGTTCTTTCTAAGCTTTCTTTGATTTGATTCTTGTTTGTTTTGTTTTTTTTGCCTATTACCGTCTTTACGAATTTGTGACTGTTATCATTTGAAGAATGGGCACTATTATTTTTTTCCTTATAAAATCTTTATGCGTAAAAAAATAAGAAGAAAGAGTCACGCCCCTAAATATAGACATATAGTTGTTATTTTTCCGGCTCTTCGAAAATTACCGAGACAATATTTACACCGGAAATCTTTACATAAAGATTACCTATCACTAAGACAACAGTGTTACACAAGTACGCACTGTCACGGTAGTTCCAATGTTTTTATCTAACCTTTGGCAAGTGCAACAACACAAATTAAAACAGTTGTTGCTTTGCACAGTTTTCCGATTGATTCGAAAATAAAACTGTCGGGTATGCACAGTTTATTATTCTTTATGTTCGTTGCGCCGAGAGTTGGGACAATGCGGAAGACAACGACAGCTAAGGGGAAGTGTTTTCAAAAAATAAGAGAATTTCGATTGGACAATAAAATGTAAAGCCTGTAATTGGCGTAAATCACTTTATGCGAAGAATGACATCATGCGACTGGTGAATACACACATACAGTCCACGAGCAAAATGTGCTAATTATAATCAATTACAATGACCAAAATAAATGTAATGACCAAATAAAGTTTACATTCATTTTAGTTTGTAAATTCACTCATTGCAAATTATGCTTTACTTGATATCATGGAAATACAGTGGGCTGGACATTGGATCTTCTGATCGTTGTGGTGACATTGACGTCATGCATCCATTGATCGTAAAACACAGTATATTATTTAGATTTAACTTTTTCTTTTATTAACCCCTCCTGTATAATGGACTGCACTCCTCGCCAATAACTTTTGCCACCTGTTTCAAGAGTGAAATGATCTGCTTATCAATGACCTATAGGCCAAATGGCAATAAAAGTTACATAAATCACATGTCACCTCATTGTAGCTGGTCAAGGTGTACTTCAGTCAGTCATTTGTCACATGACCAAGCAAGCTCAAATCTGTCCATATGGCTCAATCGAACCAATATTTCCAATTATGATCCATCTTCTAAACAGAAATCGTCTGAGAAGAAAACGACTCCAAATGTAGATGTCTGTGTAGCTTCGTATGTACACCATTGATAGTCTCTGGGTTGTGTTTCTAGTGTAACATCACGATGTAGTCATGAATATGCAAGTAGTTGTGTACTGGTACCTTGCCAAGCACAGTGGCCTGAGATTCGTGAAGCACCCCCCCCCCAAAAAAAACAAAACAAATCACAGCTTAAATGTAAAATAAAAATACAGCTACATACAGCTTTACAAATTCAAGGCAAGGGTCATTGTTGTACATCTCAAAGTTCATTCCAGGCCCCTTTTTTCCTGCACGTAAAATCATTTGTCGCATTCAAGCTGAAATCGTATGATCTTAAATCGCATATATTTGTATGATGCCCCATTTTTCATAAGATCAAGCATTGTGTTGATATAAGCAATTTCAGTTAGCAAATAATTTTGTAAGAGCATTGAACCCTGAACCCAAAATTAAATATTTATATTAATTATTGTAAATGAATCCACAATTAAGTATTTAATAATGCACAACACATTGCAATGGTATAATAATAATTATTTTTTTTTCATTTTACTTCTGGATTACAAGCCTTGCGTCTCCGGATTCAACCTCACATAGTGGGCAC